CCCCCCCCAAAAAAAACCATACCAGCTTCAAACCTTTGAACAGTAGTGTAAATATTTCCAGTTAAATTGGAATACCAAATCTGAAAGTCCCTGTATACTCTAAATCATTCGTTAAAAATTCACAGAGAAGCAAGAATGCATGCAGATGTTTGTTATAGACTTTAAAACTTTAGCGTTTCACTGTTTTTCTTTAAAGAACAAATGTATTATCTGAGAAATTCTGCATCCATCACCACCAAAGCTCAGAAGACTAATCAATAAATGACATAACACGATTTCTGTTTGAAGGAGATGAGTCTAAATCTCATATTTCTCCCTCAGCCCTCACTCATTTGTCATATGCAGTTATCTGAGGACATCTTTGTAGCTTGTGTCCTGCTCGATATCTCTTTTTATTTGTAGCTCACACCATTTTCTTTATTGCCCAATCATTTAGTCTATCTGTCCCTGATTAAAGAAGATAGCAGTCGTAACATCTGTCATGATATGTTCATAGGCTTATTTACAAGACACATGTCCACAAACTAAAGTGCAGCTATTAGCTGCTAGCATGTAGCCAAATATTTATTTTAAAGGGGTCATATGATGCTTTTTTAAAGATCATTATTTTGTGTATTTGGTGAAACAGAATATGTTGACATGCTTTAATGTTCAAAAAACACATTATTTTTCAAATACTGTACATTATTGTAGGTCCTCTATGCCCCGCCTCTCTCAAACATATTTCCACATAGTGAGGTAGATATGTGGGGGCGTGTTAGAACGAGCCGTTTTAGGGGGGCGTGGCAGAGTCTTAACTTTGATAAAGAATATCTCTTTGGTTTTGAGACTTTAGTCTTTGCAACTTCAGGGATCTTATCTATGCACAATCAGCTTGTAACACTCCAAAGAGAAAGGAAAACTTGAAATCGCATCATATGACCCCTTTAAAACACTTGAGACCACAGGCTTGTTGGTGGCCCAGGACACTATAAATCGTTTTTAGGTTGTATATAATTTAATGTTGGTTAGCGTTTCAAGTTGTTGTCTTGTGGTGTTTTATAGCTTGCAGTTATTTGTGTTCCTCATTTACTTTTAATCAATTGCAGGGCTTTCTGTTTTTTTTCTCTCTCTGGTACGGCTCACAGCTGCCGTATTGAAAACCTCACTCTGAGCTCAGTACAATAAACAAGCATTTTTATTTTCCATCTGCTAAAATGAGCTTTGAACTTTATTGATTTGCATGTGCTATTTTTACTCATGAGGTGAAACAGAGCTCTTAAACTGAGGTTAAAGCAGTTTGCTGCTATTTATTTTACCTCAGGGTTTGTTCTACAAGGAAGTCCAGGTGTTTGTGGGTTGTGGGTGACCTCTTGAATTCATGCTCATGTGTAGAAGTGCTTTCACTATTCCAGCCCATATGAATGCAATGTAGAACACAATGTGAGCTCTGTTAAAGGGATAGTTTACACAAAAATGATGTTTGCTGTTAATTTACTCACCCTCAGGTCACCCAAGAAGGAGGTGAGTTTTTTTTCTTTCTTCTTCTTCTTCAGTAGGATAGTAAACAAGATTTTTTTTAGCTAAAACCATGGTCCTTGGTGATTCATAAAATGCAAGTCAGCGGCTGCCGGAACTTGAGAGTAAAAAAAAGCGCATATACAGGCAAGACAAAATTAATACATGTGGCTCCTGATGATATATTGAGGTCTTATGAAGCACAACAATTACCTGTATTACCTGTAACCCATAGCCCCAGGCAAATGGGTTACATGTCCGGTCTGTGAACAAATCATTCTTTTGAACCAGTTCTTTTTAGTGAACTGAATATACCAGTTCACCAAATCGGGCCGAACCATCTGAAACAGTTTGTGACTTGAGTAGCACAGATCTGCAAGTTACTTAGTCAGAACTACATTTTGGATGAACAGTCACTCTGGTTTGAAATGAGCGAAATTTCTACGTATGTGATCCTACGATGCTGATTTTTGCCAACTCATTCGGTGCTCCAGTTCCTCCAAACAGTCACTGAACTGAGCAAACTGTTCAAACTCGGACTGAAGAACTGAAGAGCTGAACGAAATGAACGTTTTTATGGAGTTGATTAAGACTAGTTTATTCACTTTATATGTTTTAGACACGTAAAACATCCACATTTCACATCATTATTGGTGATGTCATTGTATGATTATGTAAATCGGGGTCACCAAACTCGGTCCTGCTCCAACCCTAATCAAACACACTAATCAAGGTCTTACTAGGTAAACATGAAACTTCCTTTTTTTCCCCTGTGGAAGACAAAATAAGATTTTTTTGAAGCGTGTTGGTCATTTTGCAATGACGATGACTAAATTATGATAGCATTTTTGCTTTTGGAGTGAATCATCCCTTTAAGTTCTCTCCCTTGTCAGTCTGATGTTGTTGACCTGCAGAGAACTCACACTGTCTCTCTCTCGTCCTCCGGTCCGACACTTTTGGCCCCATCATTTTTTACACACTCTGGCCTTAGCTTTCCTAAGGCGAGTCAGTCCTGCTACTAAAATAAGAAAAATATGCCAGTTGCAGGTTGTGTGTTTTGTTCTCCACACAGTGCCATTCCAACCTCCTCTTGCTACAAAGAAAAAACTAATCTTAAGACTGAATTTTCAGCAGCAACACCTTAAGTATCTGTCTGTCTGTCTGTCTGTCTGTCTGTCTGTCTGTCTGTCTGTCTGTCTGTCTATCTATCTATCTATCTATCTATCTGTCTGTCTGTCTGTCTGTCTATCTATATATCTATCTGTCTGTCTGTCTGTCTATCTATCTATCTATCTATCTATCTGTCTGTCTGTCTGTCTGTCTATCTATATATCTATATGTCTGTCTGTCTGTCTGTCTCTCTCTCTCTCTCTCTGTCATTGTTTGTATAGCTTTCTATGTGTGTGTCTGTTTGTTGTTCTATCTGTTGTTCGGTTGGGCTGTCTGTCGCTCTGTTTGTATGTGTGTGTCTGTTTGTTGATTGTTTTTGTCTGTCTGTCTCTCTAATTGTCTGTCATTCTTTCTGTTTGTCTGTCTGCTGGTCTGCTATCTATTTGACTTTCTATCCGTTGTTTTGACTGCCTGTATGTCTGTCTGTTGTGTGACCTCAGTGAGCAATCTCTACATTGAGGCTGAAATCTGTCAAAACTGTTCTAGACAGTTGTTGTAATGCAGACTTGTGCCGTTCACTCTCTGCACCCACTTCCTGCGTCAAGCTTCTGGAATTCCCTTTCATGCAAGAAACAGCACAAGAGTGTTCAAAGAGCCTGCAGAGATTAATGTGAGAGAGAGGATGGCTGAGGGCCAGTGGAAGTGTGTGAATCCTTTTCCCTTCTGCCTCATGGGAATGTTGGTTAGATCGGCTAACCAGCGCTGGCCTCCTTGATACACAACCAGCACACACAAACACACACACACACACACACACACACACAGACTCAACAATAGACCTCACCCCTTGGGTCCTCTCTGTCAAAGCCTGTCTCCTGATTCAACCCTGTGCGGGCTTCTTAAAAGCACAAACATCTATTTGATACACCTCCGTCCAAGAGGAGCTAAGGAAGTGCTCTCCCTGTTATGGATTTTTCCTGATCTGTGCTTTTTTTAGGGTCAAGATTGTTAAAATTATTTTTAAACCATTTTTGTATATAGTCAGCACTGAGCAAACTATCATTCTCTTTCCATAACACGCACACACAGAAACACACATTAAAGGTCAGTACTGTAGCTGCTGTCTTTCAGGCTTTATTGCATACTGTCTGTTGTCTGTGTTCAACAATTCAGTCAGTTCAGGTGCATCTCAAACATGGGCAGCTTTTGAAGCGGTTTGAGGCATAATGGGTTCACTTATCTGAGGGTGTGTTTGTGAGTGATTGCAGTCATTTTGCTTTTTATGACTTCAGCATAACACAGAATATCTACCAGCATTTTCTGTGTCAAAAATGTACATATCTATCTATCTATCTATCTATCTATCTGTCTATCTATCTATCTATCATCGTCTGTCTGTCTAATTGACTGGCGGACTGACTGATTGTTATTTTGTCTCTTTGTCTGTCTGTCTGTCTGTCTTTCTGTCTGTCCAACACAAATGAGTCATTCTTCTTTTTATATTCATTTTCTCTTTCTCAGGTGGGGATGAAGGACAATCCTGCAGTAGATCCGATTATTCATGGACTAAGAGGAGTGGTTCATCACGGTGAGTAGATGTTTTAATCCAACAGAATAATGTAATTCAGGTTGAGTGTATTGAAATAGATCATAAATTATTTTTTACTTGTTACATGCATTTGCAATAACAACTGATACTTCGTTGGCGTCCTGTGTGCCTTACATGGAATGAACAAAGCCAACTCGTCTGCTATTAGTCAGTCTGTTTGTGAAACAGTGCTTCAGTTCTGACAGGATCTCAGCCTCAGGCCCCTGCGGCCTCTGACTAATGGAATGATGATATGATGATGATATTGAGTCAGGAGATCTGGCTGAGAAATCAAGGGTTTGTTGAGCAGAATGTGTGCTCACACTTATCACTGTATATTTTTATATATATA